TTGAGATAAATTATTTTATTTTGTATATGAGATAAATTATTTTATTATTAAAATATAAATGATGGAAAAAATAATCCAGCGAGACCTAGTATCTCCAATCAAAGATAAAATAAAATAATAATACATTTTTATTCTTAGAATTATTATAACTAAAACCTCAAACCAAATAACTCCCAAAAATTTACGCATTTTATGCACTTTAATAATGGACAAGTACTACAAATATTAACCTGGGACTGTCCCCCCCAACCCGCACCCCGCACCCCCATTCCCACCACTATGACTTTTCTTTTCGTCTTAAATTATCTATTGCTTTTTAAAAAATAATTATATCAAAATATTTTATTTTGCATATTTTTATTTATTCATTATTTTTATTTAATTTTGACTTATCACTATTAACATATCAAGAATTTTTTATTTTTTTTTCATTTTGCTCTCAACATTAATTTATTTATTCAAGATCTAAGACCATATATTTTATAAAATCATTATTTTTTAAAGGCATACAAAATTCAAATAAGATAAGTAAAAAAGAATGACGGAAGTATTTATCATTTTAAAATTTTTAAATAAAATTAATTTTTTTTTTCATTTCACTCTGATAATTACTATATTAATCATGAGGTGATGTGCGGATAAATCTTCACATATCAATAGAGGTAAAATAATTCTAAGCCTCTTTTTAGTTAATCTTTTTAAAAAGGTGTGAAAAGGATTAATCTTCAAATATCAATTGTCTGTTTATTCATATATATTTGTTTATTATAATTTAATTTTAAAATGTTTCAATAATTAATTTTAAATTTATTCTTATAAGATTCATAACTTTTTTCTCTTAAAATATAATAATATATCCCTTCTTCAGAAACTTACCCTCCGTTACGATAAGTATGGTATTTATGCAAAGGGAGTTTCTTATTATCACTTGATTGAACAGCCTTGCACATATCGTATCTCATTTAACAGAAAAAATATTTGATATATATTTAATTTGTTATCAACACAAGTAAGGGCGAGGTCAATTAAAAATTTAAATATATTAAAAGCTCAACTGAATTCAATAATTTCTGCTTAAATAATATATTTATATTAATAAATCATTATATTTAGAACCTAATTATTAATATTTGAAGCTAGCGTTCTAAAATTTAAATTAATGAAGTTGAAATCTCAGCTTTGTCAATATAAGTATCCTATAACTTTTATACATCAAGAATAGTAATATTTTTGCTTCCACTGAATTTGGTCATGTTTTCTTTTTCTTTTTTCAGATTAATAATAAACACAAATTATAAAAATTCACTTGTTTTTATTTTTATAAAAACAATGAAGTGATTTGATTGTATAATTAATACAATGAATAGAACCTAAGCGTGTGTTTTTGTTTTATTATGTACTATTATTTGGTTAATTAATAGCATTCACATTTTATTGCTTACATATTTAATATTCCGGCATGCTAGTGGTTAGAAAGTCAGCAAGCATAATCCTTTTATATGATTCGAATTTTATATACTCCCTCCGTCTTTTTTTACTGATCAAATTTTAACTTGATATATTTATTAAGAAAATAATGATCGATATAGTGAGTTTATCATTTTACCCTTATTAATTGATAGAGTCTTAAACATATTTACTTACTATAATTTTCAAAGACATTAACTCAATGTTAATAAGTAGAGGATATAATGAAAAAAAAATTGTTCTTCTTAATTTGACAAAAATGATACTAAATAGAAAGACAAATTAAATTAGAAAATATTTGACAAATAAATAGGGACAGAGAATATATACTTCTCTATATAGAGTTAAATAGTAAGAAAACAAAATAAAAAGACAAATCATATAAACCATGATTATTAATATCAGAAGTATATATTTAACTTTGTAGTGGAATTAAAATAAATTATACGTCTACCTTAATGTGAAGTCAAAATTAAAGTTCTTTGATTATTTTTTTTGTTTTTTATATTCCATACATATGCATACAAATATTATATATATATATTTTGAGTATATATAGTTAATTAATAGAAAAAATAAATGTTAGAACTAGAGAATCTTTATGGAGGTTCTTTTTAAAAAATATTTTCTTTATTAATTATGTAAAAAGACAATTTATTCGATAAAAATAGAAATAAATAAATTTTATATTGTAATAACTTATTGATATAACCAAACTCCTAGAGTAACAATATTTTATATGTGATGTGAACTATGTTGAAAGTGTCATTCTAAATAGGCCAAACACATACACAACACTTCTTGTCCTCATTTTTCATTTTGGCACTCCAACTTAGTCTTGTTCCATTTTAATCCTTAAACTCCATTTTTCTGTACCATTTAAATACTTATACTAATTTTTATGATTTGTTTTTATTTATGTTCTTCAATTGCAATTTCTTATTTTGAAAAAAATAGACGTGTGCTTGTTAATTTTTGTAAAAAAATTAAATATTCGCGAACGAACATAAAAAATTTCAAACAATAATATTATTTTTTGATATTTCTCTGTATTTTTGCATGAAAATAAATTGACGAAAGTTCTTTGATTTTGTTTATTAAACATTCAATTAAATTAAATAACACTACTTATTTATTTTTTCTTATCATCTACGCTATCTAAATTTAACGCAAATACTCACTTTTAATTTTTAATATAATCAATACAAATAAAAAAACTCATCTTCAAAAAGACTCGACTGACTTTGTTAATAACACTACTAAAAAAAGACTCTTCTTCATTGCTAATAACACTACTAAACAATGTTAAAACTCGACTGACTTTGTTAGGTTGTCGTTGATTTTAAAGAAAGGAAACCAACACAACTTCGTAGGTTATTTTTCACACAAAAATACGTAACACTCGTAAAAAGAAATTATTATTTTTAAAAAGAATTATTTTTGTTAATTTTTCATTTTTTAACTAAAATTAACTGACACATGTCGATTTAAAATAAGAAGTTGCAATTGAAGAATATATATATAAAAATAAAAAAATCATAAAAATAGTATTTCATGTTAAAATGGTATATAAAAAATGGAGTTTAAGGATTAAAATAAAACAAGACTAAGATAAAATGTCAAAATGAAAAATATGAACAAATTAGAGGGGCTGTATATATGTTTGGCCTTCTAAAAAAACAAATGAATATTGAACACAAAGTAGAAATCGATTTTTTTTAAAAATATCTTGTAGAGATGAATTGGGTTAGTTGAAAACAGCTGTTTGTCCAAAGTTTTTGACTAGTTGACTTCCTTTCTGTAATTACTACAGTAAATATTTGACCTAACTAGTTTTTTTTTTTCTAATTATATGGTTTTTTTTTTCTAGCAGAAAGACCCACAATATACTTTCTTTGTTTATGAAAAAACCATAATATGGACCATTGATAATGACAATCTGTAATTACTGTTTTCTATGACCTTGCAGTATGTTCACATGATTCTCTTTTACTATAAAACAATTTTGGTGCTGTTTGTTTGGGCCTTTCAAAATTTAGCACTTTTTTCGAAAGTATTTAATCAGAACACTTTTTTTAAAATGAAATCATAGTAGGAAAATATGGAATATATGGAAAGAATAAGTTGCAAATCTTCTTATATGGTGTTGAATAATCCTAACTTATGATTCGAGATTTTTTTTTTATATAATTGTGCTAATGGATGGTATCAATTTATGTACAACTTGATTAATTTTATAAAATTGTAACAAAATTTAAAAACCTTATTTGTATTTATATAATTTTACTTATAATTAATCTATCTAGAACACAATTAGTTAAAATGAAAAAATATTTGTCTTTGACTTACTAGTTTACTATCGCTAGTATATGTACAAATAACTGATTACTAAAATTTAAATTGAAGAAAGAAATATTTGTTTAATATATAATGTATGAAAAATTAAATTAGTCATAGGTGCATATATATTTTAGAATTTCTATAAAATATAGCAAAAGGTGCACATAAATATAGTTATGGTCTTGTGGAACCAAAAATTATGATAAGAAGAACAAATGAAATATAATTTTTCGTCAAAGAAAATTTAATATGTTCTTCTTCTTTGCATGAGATTAGGCTATTGCATAAATATACGTGTCAAATTTTTACAGGTATATATTTAGATCGATGCATACATATAATATATAATATATGTGGTGTATCCAAAAGTTCATCAGGTACAATATTAGATAGCAACTAATAACTAATGAGAAAATGAGTGGTTTTAAGTTCTTTTCATTTCTTTTATTTTATTCACGTGACTTTTGGCTTTTTGCTTATGAATAATAAAATTAATTCATAAAAAATATAATTTAATTTGCTGAGATTTTTGTAATTTATTTATTAACTTAATGCAATTTATCTAAAAGTTGGTTGATGCAAATGAAATATGTATGTAGCTAAAATTAACTTATAAGAAAATATTATTAATTTTTTTAAAAACAATTATACGATATACAATTTATATAATCATAATAAATAAATAAATAATTTATTACGTACTAAAATAAATTATAATAAACAAAAAAAAAAAAAACTAAATAAGAGTTGGACAAGTCATGTTACAACCCCTGATTGTTTTGATTTTTTTAAATCGAAGGTCGGGATGTAGTAAATCGAACATTTATAAATAAATTATAAATTATAATCGTTGATCAATTGAGCTATTAAATTTCCATATGATCCATGATTCGGTTCATTTTAATCACGGTTTTGAACTTCTTACTATACTAACTCACTCAATAAATAAACTTTCATGTTTAACAACTTTCGACTTTTAACCTTGAAGCAAACAGAGTCAAAAGTTTATAATCATTCTATCTCCAATGTTATAATTGTAAATCACTTCATTCGTTTATTAACTCAATTTATTTTAATCTGTTCAAATTTAACTCAACCCGTTCATTCGATGATGACACTAACTTTGACTAACAATATTTTGCTGGCATTCTCTTAAAATTCTTGCTATTTATACAACTCCCTACACCTCTATTCTTCTATCTCTCATCTCTCTCTTTTTTCTCTCTCTCTCATCATCACACAGAGACAATAAAAAGAAGAAATTTAAGCAAAAAAATCAATAAATCAAAGGCAAAAAATGGAGCAAAAAAATATTGTATTTCTTCTTTCTCTTATGGTTTTACTACTAATTTCCTACACAACTTCAGCTCGTTTATTGCCAACAATTAATTCTCAAGGTACTGATTTTTTATTTTATTTTATTTTATTTTTTTAATTAATTTCTATAGAGCTTCAAAAATTAAATTATTGTTGAATGGTAATTAATTAATTATTATTTTTTCACAGAGAATAAGAAGATTGAATCTAATGGGATTATTAGTAATAATCCAATTTCCTCACAAGTACAAGAAGATTTCAATGATGTAAGTTCTTTCTCTTATACCCCCCCCCCCCCACCCCCTCTTTTATGTATGGTATATGAGCTTATCCGAATCGATATGACCAGTGAAAATTCATATAATCAATTTGAGATTTCACTTACAAAAATAAAAAAATTGCTAATAGGAAAATTTTGTAATTAGTAAAAAAAAATCGTTGCTAATACCATTTAGCGATGAATTAGTAAAATATTATGTTAGCTATGAATAATTAAGCAACAATTTCAATTTGTTTTGGTGTTTAGGCCTAGTTATATACATGTAACTTCTAACAATATAGAGTAATTCTTTTGTATTTTCTTTAATAGACTTGTTATAATATTTTAGCTCCGACTCTAAAATTCATATATCCGACTCTAACTTGAATCAAATTATTTTTTTCTTTTTGGAATATTTTGGAACAGCTCATGGGAATAGAAGAATGTGAAGAAAAAGATGAAGTTTGTTTCAAGAGAAGAATGATTGCAGAGGCTCATTTGGATTATATTTATACTCAACACAAGCCAAAACATTGAACAAGTTTATATTAATATTTTTTTTTTCTTAAGGATGATTAATTAGTAATGTTTTTCCTATACTTGAAAACCTTAAATTAGAGTACTACGTACTAAAAGAAACTTTAATTTATTAAAACTTGTATTTCAATGTATCATAAGATTGTAGTACTATGTTTTGTAGCCAAAAGTTTAATTTATTACTCTTTGAGTCTTGATCTCTATTTATTACTTTATCCGCTTTATATTAGTTGTTTAATTTTTGTTTTACACGCTCTTTAAAAAGAATCATAAATGAGAAGAGTAATTTTATGAATGTACTTTTTTTTTTTGAAATTTTACAAACTTGTTTATCCTTTAAAAAGGAATAAATTGAAGGGTAAAATAGAAAAAAATTAATTAATTATATCTTAATTTTATAAATTGACAAGTAATTTGGAATGATTATTTTTAATTACGTGAACAACTAATATGAAACGAAGGGGTACAACCCAAAGCTTATTAGCCGTCTCGGGTTTCAATCCATGAAAATGAAAATAATTATGAGAGGAGTCTAAGAGTAGGTCTTGCAATACACAAATCTAAATTTAATCAGACTTAACGAGGGTATCAGATACCGATGGAGAAAAAAACAAAAAAGAAATTGTCGGTTATCCTATATGTTCCCTAGCAGCAATACTTTGAACTTATAACCCCAACTTTTAAATAAATGTATCTTTAAATTATACTTTTGCACCGTCGATTTTGGTGATATATATAAACTAGTCATTTTATTTTATTCAACTTATACAATGGGTTGTTGAGTATGAGTCCTATTTATTCGAGTTATTCTTGAAATTACATGGATTTAGTAATAAGTAGTGAACTTTTTAAAACCATTTTCTTGGAGGTATCCCATGTAAAATAGTTCGAAGTTAGGGTTAGTTTGTTTTTTCCAGAGTGATGAGTCGATAACAAGGTGTCAAACAACTCTATCGCTAAAAGCTTTTGGAAGATTTTTAGTGTGCCTTTGATTCGTTGAGCGAGAAGCCCTTCCAAAATTTCTTTCTATATATTTTTTTAAAATTAACTAACCACAAAGGCTCAATTCCCGATATCCTTTTTATTTAGGGTGGATTAAGAAAAATACTACTTATTTTATTTGGTGAAAAGAAAGAGCATACTTCCTCCATTTATTTTTACTTGTCATTGTTTGATTTAGCACATCCATTTTAAAAACAATTATTGATATAGATATTTTACTAAACTATCCCTGTTAAATAATGTTTAGTATTAAGTCTTGAAAATGATTTGGAAAATAAGTATTTAATGATGAGGGAAAAACATAGAAAAATAATTGTTTTTTCTTGATATATTAAACGTAACAAATAAAAATAAAAATTTATTTTAAAAATACATGACAAGTAAAAACGAACGGAGGGAGTAATTTGTTGATAAGGGGACAATAGCATGAGAAAAGGGGTCAATTTCAAATTCCAATTAAGAGAAAATTGGTAGACCCACAGTTGACCTTTAACAGATTCCTTCAATTATTGCACCTTAGTCTGTTTCTCTCTTTAAAGTCCAAATGTACAATCATTCATTGGTATTAGTGTCTTGTCTTTTAACACAGCTGTATGATTGAACCATGCTTATGCAATAATACTACTACTATACTATGCATTTCACACATTATTTATAAAAAAATTAGTTTTTTAATTATTGGAAAAATAATAATTTGTAACTAATTTACCCCTGTAGTCAATGTCAATGCTTCAAGTGTTGAGTAAAGGTAAGGTTTGTGTCCATGCAATCCTCCTTAGTCTCAATTTGTGAAACTGCACTATGTACATTGCGATGAAATGAGAAGTTCAAATTAAATGTTTTGCAGTTTAAGTACCAACATTTTTGTGTTCATAGGAGAATCAGGGAAGAAATGCTTGGATCAAGTGGATAACATGAACAGAAGTAAAATTAATAAATCTAAAAATTTGGAACAAAAGAAGAAACTGCAGCTGGAAAATTGTGTAACATGAATTTGATCCCCCTTTTTTTTTCAAGAACATCAGAGGAAAAACTGTTATAGCAAAGCATATTCACATTCTTATGCTCAATTCTCGAAAACACTCCTGTCATATTCGCGTCATTTAATATGCAGTAAGAGAGAGTAAAATGAGGATTATGGTGTTGACAACAAAAAAAATTCACAATGAACAATTCCACAGAAGTCTCTGCCTGTAAAGATCCTCATCAGCTTGAGCAGCAACTAATGTGAACGAACGTTCAATCCACAGCTTCAAGAACCACCTACTTTCTACCAGAAGTAAAAACCAAGGACTCGCAAAAAAACATACAGGCAATGAAATTACATCCCAGTAAATGAAGAACTACTATCAAAATCTGGAAATATCCATTATCTAAAAGACTAAAACCAACAATATGGTTGCGATGATAGCCCAAGTGTCCGAGAACTTAAAAGGGACAGTTGCTGAGGCTTAGCTAATTAGTAAAAGTTTTAAGCCCTTAATGTTCTAACAAAGTGAATGCACACTCAGTAGCTTTGCTTGGGCAAGTTTAAGTTGGATCTTGAATAGAATTGCAGCTGGATGATTTTTGTTCAATAGCATCAGTAACTGAAACTGAAAACGTCACTGAGGACAATGTAAGTGAACAGAAAGTATCAAATTGAGGAAGATGTGATGCGCAAACTGTTCTAGTATCTAGAATTTCCATTTCGTTGTCATTTCAAATAAAAGCATGGAAGAGGCTTACTAAGCAAGAAGATGTATAACCATTACAAGTAATTCAAAATGAACCTGGTTATCTTCGATTAATAGAACAAAAATCAAGCATCCAACACCTGAGAAATGAAACCATGGACAATATGATACAATACAAGTCAGCAGTGGCTACTAATGAAATAAAGGAACTGCAAGGAACGTATAAATACCAACATACAAACTAGCAAGGATGGCAAGATTAAAATGTTCGAGCACGTACGCAAGTCCAAAGGAAGATCAAAAAGAATAATGCATCTCTAAATTGCATTTCAAAACTTAAGCTTCCTCCATTTTATTGCCAGTCCAAAAGTTTCAACTTACAATTTTCACGGGCAGCATAACTTGTCTAACCATTTTATTGCCAGCCCAAAATCAATTTGAATTCAAAGCACTTCGAAAATTTAAGAACTTTAGAAAGTGCTCTCTTCTGAAAAGCATTTAATTCTCAAGAGCAACGCACTCCAAAACGGGGCTGTCAGACAATTAGATCCATATTTTACTCAAGGTGCCAACAAGTAACTTGTATTCAGTTTTCAGACACTTGAAGGATCAAAATCAGCTAAACATATATTTTGGGGAATAATTTAAATGAAAAATACCACATATTTGTTTTTCATTAAGAATCGATGGAAGATTCTTATCTATGAAAACAGATGCCACCCATTTACCAGCAGCACCAACAAACCACATGAAAAGGCTTCTTTCATAATTAGTATCTAGTGAAGTATTTAAAATATCTAAAATCAACTTTAACATCATATCACTTACCAATTCATATCCTAGGCAAGCCCCAACTCTTGACAAGAACTTTCTGAAATACAGTTCTTGTGGACTATCGGACCCTGACAATCACTTTCACTTGGAATACTCATGTAAACAGCATCTTTGAACATCCATTCGTCACTTTCTTCATTGTAGAAGTCTTCAAAAAACTCACCACACAAAACACACACACATTGACATTCATCTGCAGGAACCATGGTCTCAGTACATCCTGATGTCTCACTAGAACCTGGCACTTTGGATTTATCACCACAAGGGAGGCCACCAAATGCAGCAATCCATTCCCCAGAATTTAAATACCACTTTCTTGAATTATTCAACAGTTTGACATCTGGATTTCTCAATGAGTGCCACTCCAAGTGTCTATCAAGTTTCTCTTGGAGTTTTAGTCCAAAACCGCATATTCCACACTGATGTGGAACGTCATCAAGAAGGTCACTGATCACAGCAGGATGGGAATTCCGAATCACATCTGGCTTAAATACAAGCCCAATGAGACTTTTTGCATCTTCTTTCGTGGACTGAAGTAAGACCTCAGGAGTTTTAGCAGAAGGTTTTGAGTGAGAAAGTTCATCCTTAGGAGCTGAAGAAGGAACAGATGAAGATATTGGAGCAGATAAAGCAGGAGTTGAAATGGAGCTTGCAGGTGGAATAAGGTTCTGAGTTTGAGGAGGTGTATCCGAAGGAGTATAAATAGGTGGGTCTTTCTTTGATGCAGATATTAACCCCTTCGCCACCAATGTACTCAAAATACTTGAAAGAGGACTGGAAGCAGTATTTGGTGCATTCGGCATCTGCAATGATGCACTCCCTACTAGAGTTCGAGGTAGACCAAGTGGCAATGGTGGCTGTTCTACATTTCTCTGGGAATAATTTGGAGGATTTGAAGCATTTCTGTCCATCGATAGACTAGTGACGGAGGCCGGTGGGATCCTAGGCCCAGATGAGGAAAACTGGGAGGGATGAGGCTGTGCACTGGCTTGGGATGACAGAGCACCCTTATCAAGAGAACTCGATGTAGTACCAGAACTTGATTTATTACCAATGACTCCACTCTTCAAAACAGCAGCCAACAAACTGCTAGTGCTAGAGGGATCAGGAAAACCTGAAATCTGAGGAGCTGTTGAATTCTTGGTTTGACCAGAATATTCAGATTCCAGGCTTTCCCGCTGAACCTTATGTCTCAACTGATGAGAAGAAGACAAGGCAGACGAATTCTGCAAACTTGGAGGCTGTTGTCTTTGTGAATTAACTGAAACGGTATTCCGAGACGGCATTGCCAGAGATTCCTGGGCAAACTGGTTACGGGGATCTAGATTTGACCTCCTTGAGATTTGGGATAGTCTTGGATCAGAACGAGAACTGGTCTGCATCTGGTACTGCTCACCGGGACTATTAATTACTTGATTAGTGTTGCTTGTTATAAGTGATGGGGATGGAGGACGCTGATGCATTGGTGACTGAGCAGAGGGAGAGGCAGCTCTGAGAGTCTCTCCCTGTTGCACTATGGATCCCCTGGATTCCAGAGTTGCATTCATCGGCCCAATATTTGGCGTTCCAACATGGCCTGAACCTGTCTGTAACTTGTAAGATGCCCTACTTACTGAATTTGCAGCTTTTGACAACCCGCTGAAAGAAGT